CCAGGTGTTTCATCTACATGTGGCAGTGATAATACTTTTCCTGCCTCAAGGAAGAGGTGCCAACTAATCCTTTGCATAGGACTACGCATTAAGGTTCTGACCAGGATTAGCCCAGATATCATGAGGGGAGTCACTTAAAGGCAAAGCAGAAAATGGACTTAAAATGAGCTACAGAACCTAACCATTTAATTCTCAATTAGCCCTCATTTTGTTGAAAACCCTTGAGGCAAGCCTCTTCCCCTTAAGTTTCAGTGTCTGCATTTATAGGAACTTCTTAAGGCCTTTAATGACAAGACCAGAAGAAAGGAAAAATGAAAGAATACATTGGATTTCAGAGTAGGGAGAAAATAAATCATAGGAATAATAGAATACCTCAACTCTCCTAGGCCTACCTTCTTGCTGGATATTATTATACAGCCACTGGCAGCTACGATATCAAGTGGACAATGCCTCATTGTGTTCTGACCCTGAAACTGATTGGTAAGTGATGGGTCACTACCTTCCCCTTTTGTACTTAGGCTTCTCCCCATCTGACCATAAACTTACTCTGTGCTCTCCCCAACATTCCTGCTACCCTCAGTCCACAGGTCACATCCTCAGTGTCCTCTCCCTCTACTCTACCCACACCTTCTCTCTCTGCTCAGGTTTGGCTGTTGACTACTTTGATGGAGGGAAAGATCAGGTAAGAACAACTCCCTCACAGAGAAGTTGAGGAACTAAGCCAGAGGGAAGGAGGAAGGCTATTGTTATGAAAAGACTGAACCCAAATGCTAAGGGCAGAGCCGCGCCTCAGCCCCAGCCTATGTGATCTCCATTTCAGATAGCAGAGCAAGGATCAACAAACCTAATTTGCCTGGATCCAGCTCTTGCACAAAGTCCAGAGATCAATGCCAGCAAGGCATTTGGAAAAGCAGCAGCAGTCAACTGTTGCTACACACACTCATTTCCACACGAAGCAACTACTTTTCTCCATACCATCCCCTCAGAGATGGCTATTTGAAGAACCAGTTCAGTGGGCCAAAAGGGTGGGGAACACACAAACTGGCTCTTGCAGGGAGATTCAAGGCTATCCTGAACTATTCATTCTCTTCTCGGCATAGAATTCCTTGTCCTCTGAGCAACAGAAATATGCCATACGAGGTGTTCCTTCCCTGCTGGAAGTTGCTGGTTTCTCCTACTTCTATGGGGCCTTCATGGTAGGGCCCCAGTTCTCAATGAACCACTACATGAAGCTGGTGCAGAGAAAGCTGACTGACAAGCCAGGGGAGATACCAAACAGGTTAGTGCCCCTTCTTGGTCAAGACCTCTGTGTAGGTATCCCACTACAAAGCCACTTCTGAAGTGACTTTCTTGAGGACCAGCCATGGCTATATTCTCCACATGGCCCCGGCTCCCAGGCTTATGCCATACGGACCCCGGACTATTGTAATGGGCACTCTGCACCTGCTTACTGTGGGTGGGCAGTGAGCCCTTTTCAGCTTAGGTCACTTCCAGCCAGCCATTCTGACCCTGTGGTTCAAACACAAAATTCACTTTTATGTCAGGATTGTGCCTGAATTGGTCATGTCCCTGCCTTTAAAATCCATTTTCTCAGTTTAAAAAAAAAAAATATTTTAATATACTTAAATATATTGGGCAGTGGAGCTACTCATCCCATCCCAGATGGATAGCTCCCCTCCATGATTTAAGGTCAGAGGGTGGAAGGAGTGGCTTCTGCGCATTGTGACCCGTGTTCCTTTCCAGCATTGTACCTGCTCTCAAGCGCCTAAGCCTGGGCCTCATCTACCTGGTGGGCTACGTTGTGCTCAGTCCCCATATCACAGAAAACTATCTCCTCACCGAAGACTATGAAGTGAGTGGCTACTAAAGCAGCAGCGTGACTGCATCCAATATAGAAAATGGGCAGGCAAAGATCCCTGTAGATAGCCAAGAAGTGGGAAACACCATTGACAAATGCATGTTGGTTTTGCTCTAGATCTGTGAGAGTTGGTGTCAGTGCCAGCCGGGCCAGGACATGTTCATCACCCAGCACTGAATGACCTTCACGGGCACAGGGCTGTGCCAGGTGCACTTTCAGCACCCCTTACCTTCTCCAGGAGCAGCTCTTAACTTGCTGTATTACAGCTCAGCACAGCAGCTTCTGGTCCTCTCCAGCCTGTTTCTTCTCTTGATAGATTGGGGGCTTCTAGGGAATTCAGAATCCAAGGGAAGGGGAAGTGCTGGCTTTTGCTCCCACCCACCTGAAAGGCTTGCAACGTTTCCATACCCACTCTAGGTAGGTTGTCTTCTTAAATTAACAAAAAGCAAGAATACATTAAAGTCCCCCAGTACTTAGTGTCAGAAGACAAAGTTAAGGACAATGCTGTTTCTGCAACTCTCCAAGGAAAAGGAGGTGAATGGATGTTCACTGGGCTCCCTGCTCATCCTCTTAGCCTGTTATAGAGGCAGTTAGGCAGCCCGTCAGGCGGACATGAAGTAGCCACAAGTGTGGAAAGGAAGAACATTAAGGAAATTCACCTGGCCTAATGCATGTTCCTCCTTCTCTCAAGAATCGCCTTTTCTGGTTCCGCTGCATGTACATGCTGATTTGGGGCAAATTTGTGCTATACAAATACGTCACCTGTTGGCTGGTCACAGTAAGTAGAAAACATGATATAGGGTCTAGACAGGCTGTGGGGGATGTGGGGAGGAGAGTGGCAAGAACCCTGAGTCGGTCCTTCCCTCAGGAAGGAGTATGCATTTTGACGGGGCTGGGCTTCAATGACTTTGATGAGAATGGAAAGGCAAAGTGGGATGCCTGCGCTAACATGAAGGTGTGGCTCTTTGAAACAACTCCCCGCTTCAGCGGCACCATCGCCTCTTTCAATATCAACACCAATGCCTGGGTGGCCCGGTAAGCAGTGGGGAGGGGAGGTCTGGACGTTAGCTTCTGCCTTCCACCACTTTCCTGGATTTGAGGGCAAATATGTATTGTCACTCTGTCTTTTCCCACTTTGGGTAGAACTTCCAGTCATCCTCACACATACCCCTACACACTATGTCCCCAGTCCTACCACCACCACCCCCCAAAAAAAATTCCTGTCATTATTTGAAAAACAAAAGCAAGATGTATAAGTGCCTTGAGTCCTAGGTTTTAATCCCCATTTGGCCACTGCTTTTGTTTTTCATTGTCCTGTTTATAAACATCTTTATTTGTCCCACTACTGGTGTGTAAGCGACACAAATAGAAAACTGGTCTGCCTTTTTCATTGCAAGTCAACATCAGGCACTTCGTAGACACTAGTCATTTAAGTGGCTTTCCCAAGTTCACTCAGCTAAGCCTTAGGTCTATTTTCTGTCTCTAAACTGAGTCTACTTCATTACCTTCGATCTCTAAAGCTAATCAGAGGGCACTGCCTCCCTTACCCCAGGTGGCCCTAAGTGGGAGCCAGCCACCACTGCACTCCTCAGGGTGCTGAGAACCCAGAGGCAGGATGGTGGGTGTGGCTCATCATTACCCACCCTTCTCTCTAGTTACTTCTTCAAACGACTCAAGTTCCTTGGAAATAAAGAACTCTCCCAGGGTCTCTCATTGCTATTCTTGGCGCTCTGGCATGGCCTACACTCAGGATACCTGGTCTGCTTCCAGATGGAATTCCTCATTATTATTGTGGAAAGACAGGTATGCCTTAAGATGCTGGGTGAAAGGGAACGATGAGAAAAGGCAAACACTGAATACCTCTTCCCTTCCTCCCCAGGCTGCCAGCCTAATTCGAGACAGCCCAACCCTTAGCAACCTGGCTTCCATAACTGTCCTACAACCCTTCTACTATTTGGTGCAGCAGACCATCCACTGGCTCTTCATGGGTTACTCAATGACTGCCTTCTGCCTCTTCACATGGGACAAATGGTTTAAGGTAAGTAAGGGCCTGCTTGCAAGGATGGGAGGGAACCACTGAAACCTCAGGTAGTAAGGGATATTATATACCATGCCCTCGGGCTACCTCGGTGGCCTCTCTCTCCCCACAGGTGTATAAATCCATCTATTTCCTTGGCCACGTCTTCTTCCTGAGCCTACTATTCGTATTGCCTTATCTTCACAAAGCAATGGTGCCAAGGAAAGAGAGGTTAAAGAAAATGGAATAATCTATTTCCTGGTAAGTTAACACCCCTACAGCTAAACTGAAACTACCAGGTTACAGGATAGAGCAATAACTTGGGGGGTAGTGTTGGAAATTTGGGGTGAATCTCAAGGGAGCCTGGCTTCTAGGAAACATAGTGTGAGGCACTAACTTAACGTGCCAGGCAGAAGTTAGAAGGGCTGTAGCCCAGGGACTAGGAGTAACTCTGACCAGCCTTCCCATCGTATTTCTTCTGTAGGTGGCCTAGAGCAAGACTGGTGCAGAAACGACTTCCTTTCTACACTCCTTTGCCCCAGAGCACAGAGAACACAGAAGCCAGGGAGTAGGAAGACATGGCACTCCCAGCTGTGCCTCTGCTGACAGCCAAGTCTTCATTTGGGCAAAGGGGAAACTCTTGTGGGAGGAGTAGAGGGGCCCATGTCTCCCCTCTGGGCTCCCCCATGCACGTTGCCTTATCTCTCCCCCCCTAGCCAGGAATATGTTGTTATTCTTCTGCCAATTTACTATGATTGTATATGTGCCGCCACCATCACTCCCCCCATGGGGGGGTGGGGAGGGACACAAGGCCCTGCCTGCTCCACTTTTTCTACCTTGGAACTGTACCAGATAAAATCACTTCTGTTTGTTCAATTTTTCACTGCTAGCATTCCTGGCTGCTTTCTTTCAGGCACAGTTCTCCATGCTTGCCATGGCTGCAGTAATCAGAGCTGTCTACTTTAGAGCACAGTAATTGCAGAAATTTGGAGCTAAAGCCCACCTGCAAAGCCCACAACCAAATTGCAAATGCTGTAAACCTCACATCTTTCCCTGAAGTCTGAGGAGAATGAACAATTTACACCCTTAGATACTAAGTTTAGGAATCCCCAAAGAACAACCAGGTTTGCAAGAATAGTATTTATAAGATAAACAAATAGCAAATGTACAACCTCGGCTTCCACTAACCCCACGGTCTTGGTGCAGGAAGGTCATCTTCCAACGGTGAGTTAGAAGAGTCAAGGAATGCAATGTCAACAGTCTCTGTGTTTCAGAGCAAGGTCCTACTGTCAAATGACCCTCCATACTTCTTCAAAGGCTGTGGTAAGTTTTGCGCAGGTGAGGGCAGCAGAAAGGGGGTAGTTGCTGATGGACACCATCTTCTCTGTATATTCCACACTGAGCTGAGGAGAGAACAGTGCTGTCAGCTGGCTCTATCACTCTGTAACAGGGTCAGTCCTTCTTTAGGGCAGGAAAACTGGGCTGAGCTCATATTTCACTGTGCTGTTTACTATCAAATTTATACAAAGGATAAAGAAGGTCCTAGCTTTGACTATTACAGATATGCCAGCAATGGTCGTCAAAAGGATACGCCCTGAGGCAGGTTAGGGAACCCACACTTGTCTTCCAGCTATGTTACCCTCTATTTCCCAACTGATGAGGACAAGGACCATCAAAATGATGACTGCTCTCAGAATCCTGTACCAAGCTTCGGCTCTATGAAGAATCTGAGTTGAGCCTAGACCTTACCTTGCCGTGGGCAAAGGCCCCCACCACAAAAACAATAGGGTCGCTGCTGGGCACCAACTCTCGCACATCACTGACGACTGGGATGGAAAAAGAAGTGCCAATTTTCATACATCCGACTGGGAAGTGATCTGACACTGGATTCTTAATTACCTAAAGTAAAACAGAAAAATGAGCCCCAGAAAGGTTCTCAAAACCCTGCCTCCAACCAGTAGGTGTCAATACCTCACCTTCAAGAGCTTCTGGGGGCCATCAGCTGCTCGAACACTGAGTTTGTGTAAAAGCTGAACTAGGGCGAAAAAAAGAGTTCAGAGCTAGGTGGAGAACTGCATTTCCACCCAGTAATCTAACCAGAAAAACTCATAGGTAAGGTGGGTTCCATGTGTACTTTATAGCTACACTGCACTCCTAAAATGTTATGAACAAGCAGTTGTCAAGCACATGACTGGTTGTATACTGATGGGTTCGCTCTCCCTTTTCACTCAGCCAGGAACCCATGCAGGCATCACCCCTACACATGGAAAGTAATGAAGAGTCCTTGTTCTGGGATCACTCATGTTCCCTATTCCTCCCTTCTTCACTCCTGAAATTTAAGTCCTAAAGATCTCACCCATGAGGCCACAAAATCGGTCAAAGGTTCTGGGAATTCGAGTCTGGGGGTTCACTTCAATCAACACATTCTTCTGTGTATGGATATAAACCTGCAGCAAGCCGGCTCGGTTCAGGGGACTGTCCATCAGCATCAGTAAACTCTGAGGGAGGGAGACACCAAGGCACAGTAAAGACTGCAAAGAAGTAGCAAGCAGCTGTATCACTTTCCACATAAAGGCTCAAGCGGTTGTGAGCTCTGTCCCTGGAGTTACCTGGTGAGCTATGTCTGGTCTCACTTCCCCGGGGTCCCGTCCATTCTTCAACAACAAAGACTTGTGCTTGTCACAGTTGAGGAGCTCATATGTCTTCCCTGCCTAAAGAGGGAACATGACAGAACAACATAAGCTGCTTTTACCTAGCCCAGTGGTTCTCAAAGTGTGGTCCCCACACCAGCAGCAACAGCAGCATCTGGAAACTTGCTAGTCAGATTCTCAGGTTCACTCTAGATTGCTGGAACCAGAAACTATGGGGGTAGGGCCTAGCAAGCTCTTCAGGAGTTCACTTATGAACTTATGGCCACATTTACCCTTCCCTCCCTTCTTTCACCCCTCCCTCAGTAACTGACCTTAGAAGAAAAAGGGAAGAAGGCACAACCTGTGATTTCAGATGATTAAAAACTGGATTTAGTTTAAAAACCTGTGGTTATTAGGCAAAGCCAGTGAGGGATTCTGGAACCAGGTGAAATAAGGTTAACGAGAAAGGCTGAATGCTTGTTTATCACAGGAGCACTGTGATATACTGGGCAAAATATAAGGTCATTACCCTCAGTTTGCTTATAACAAACATGCATTAAGTAAAGAGCTGCAAATCTGAATGAGGAGTGTAAAGATTCTAATGATGTAGGTGGCAGTTTAATCAAGGAATGCTTCTGTCAGAAGTAAAACAAGAAAGAAGGGTTGTTCCTAGTGTTAAGATGTGCGAGCAAAGCTGTAGACAAAATAAAGAAAAAGCAGAAATGTGAAGAATTATGCTGAAAAAGTGGGTCCAAAACAGTGAAAGGCAGTGATTACATATGAAACTGCTTTGTAAACTGCAGAATCCTCAAGTATCCAGCACAAAGTCAGAAATAATTCTGGAATAACAGGAGCATGAGAATGACTGAGAAATATTATCCTGGCAACTCTGTGTGTACTAGAAACTATACCAGGTAGAAATTTGACACTAAAGATCCGTCTGGATCCACCGTAGCCGCTAAAAGAGATCATTGTAAACTGCAATTTGAAGTCCTAAGGAGCATTAAGATAGTAAAAAACAGCTCTAACTGGTTTGGCTCAGTGGTTAGAGTATCAGCCTGCAGACTGAACAGACTGAAGGGTCTCAGGTTCGACCCTAGTCAAGGGCACATACCTCGGTTGCAGGCTTGATCCCTAGCCACAGTTGGGCCATGTGCTGGAGGCAACCAATCGATGTGTCTCTTTCACATCAATGTTTCTCTCTCTCTCCCCTCCACTCTCCCTGAAAAGCAATGGGGAAAAAATATTCTTGAGTGAGGTTTAAAAATAAATTTTTAAAAGTGTGAAAAACATACCATTAAGTACAAATATAGATTTTGAAAGGCTAAGCTTTTATGTATCAATGGAACATTTGTATGTCTGACAACATGCTAAGATATACAACTCCAAAAAGTGGAGGAAGAGGCACATGGACTTTGAAATTAAGTGAGAAACTAACATAATGTCACAAAGTACGCACAGGGAAAGAGCAAAGGTCAAGAACTAAGAGCATGAGACACTCTTAGTTATAGAAGAAAAAGAACCTCTTCAATAAAAGAATCCAGTTTTAACCCATTAGTAAATTTATAATGAGGGTTTTTAATGAAATAAAAAATATCAGAGTCCTTCACATGTAGTAATGGTAAGTGATGGTTTATGAAACTACTTATTTCATACAGTTGGGTATGATTTTTAATTGTGGGTTGTGGTTAAGCTTGAAAACCACTAATTAGAATAATCAGAATGAATACCATGTGTATTCACCTACTGTATTGGGTATTGGAGATACAAGAATTTTTAAAACCTTATTCACCCTAGCCAGTTTGGTGCAGTGGTTTAGAGTGTTAGCCCATAGACTCAAGAGTCCCGGGTTCGATTCCGGCCAGGGGCACATACCTCAGTTGTGGACTCGATCCCCGGCCCCAGGTCAGGATGCATGCGGGAGGCAACCAATCGATATCTCTCTCACATCAATGTTTCTCTCCCCCTCCCTTCCACTCTCTCGCAAAAGCAATGGAAAAAATATCTGGGTGAGGATTTGGAAAAAAAAAACAAAACCTTATTTACTATCGTCATAGAGTCTTCCAGTGGAAGAGACAAATAGTAAACAATTACACGAATCTTTAACTCAAATTGTGGTAAATGTTATGAAGGAAAAGTAAATCATTCATTAAAGGATTATAACAGGAGAACCTGATTTATACCAGGGAGTCATTTCTATGAGGAAGTAACATTTAACCTATTAATTGAAGAATGAGCAGAATAATAGAATCAATAATTGTTAAATGAGTGAACTTTAGGTAGGAAATAATGAAGCAAAGAGCTGAGTAAAAGGAGCGTCCAGTAAGAGAACATTATATGCAATGGCTTTAAGGTATAAGAGAACTTCATGCCTTCAAAGAGCTTAAAACAGGCCAGTGAGGCTGGAGTATAAAGAATAAGAGAGCAGGCCCCGAAGAGGCTGGCAGAAGCAAGTTACCAGCACCAAGGAAGGCACAAGGTAACAGTTCAGAAGATTTCAACCAGCTATGAATTCTGTCACTCTTTGAGTACCATTAATGACAACCTAAATTCTTCCAGAGTATGTTATAGGAATTGCAATTTGGCCATGACCTTTTCAACTCCTTAACAGGTAACTTGTAATGAGTAACAATAATAGCTAATTCCAAGTGACGGACATTATTCTAAACCCTTTGCAAGTTAGCTCCTTTTCATCTTCCCAACAATCCATAAGGTAGGGACTACTATCATCCCCAAGAAACACAGGAAGAAATGGAGTGGCTAAGTGACATTCAGAATTAATAAACTGGAAAGCTAGCAAACAATTAAGTGAGGGATAAACGTAAGAACCTATAATTAGGTTAGAAATACAAATTACAGAAGAAACATTTCAAAGGTGGGGGAGGGGGGGTTGACTGCAAGCCTAATAAAGTGCCACAGTGATTGAGGAAGATGAAAAAGAATCACACCATAGACTACTACAGAAACATACCACTTTTAAAGCACTTTCATTACATTCTCCCTCTAAAGTATTAACTGAGGACAAATTTTTCTCAAGATCACTCACTTAAAATAAGGTTAAAATAACCAAGGTTAAAATCCAGGTCTGACTTCTAAACCAGTGCTATTTATTCTGGGCCTATTCACTGAACAAAATTAGCTCTAAACGGCAGAGAAACAAGAAAGTCAGAGGGAATAAAAACACAGACCAGTTTTTTAAGACAAAGAATTGTTGGATTATTCAGAAAAAGAGCCGAATGGCAGGTAAAAACAAGTGTTTCGAAGTGGATAGTAATACAAAGGAGAGTGACAGTAAAGACCTTTTATAAAACACGAAGTCCTTACTAAAAAAAGGAGGGGCCGACTAAGCTATACTAACCACCCTTCTCCTTTCCTAGTAACTTATTGTGGGATTATTTGGGACACTGAGGTGGAGAAACTCCCCTCCCTTTACATAATTTTATACCACAGAATCCTGGGTAAATCAACTGAAACCAAGGACGTGACGGCTGGATTGGGATTCAATCAGGGCAGAAGAAAACGAGTACTGCCAACTCAAGACGTTAAACCAAAAGACAGTCCAACTAGGCCACTCTTCCTCCAAAAGCATGTTTCCCCTCTCTCCTAGCTTTCTCCATCCCCTTGGCGCCCCTCACCCTCATCCCATGGGGTCCCACTCTATCGCTATATGTACTAGTTCTCCACTTTCTTGTCCTACATTACCTTGACTGTCTCCAGACTGGCCCCTTCCAGCACCACAATGAGCCTACGGCCTCCCATCTTGCTTCCCGCCCCAAGTCGGGGCCGCTTGGGAGCCACAACATCCCAGTCCTGATCCTGGTTCTCATCGCGACGCTCACGAGGTTGGAATCCACCACTGGGCGCAGCCATCTTGCAACCAAGCCGGAAATTGTGCTAAAATCCTTAAATTAGAACCTCACGCTCTTCCTAATCGCAAACTTCCTTCCGGCTACCATTTTGAAAGTGGGCGCTTGGAAATGGCGAGGGCTCGGGTCTGGCACCCCGAAGTCTCTTTGGGCGGGCAGGTTTTCAGAGAGAGGCGGGACTTCACAACGCGCACTTCCTGTGCGCGAAGTTCTGGTTCTCCCTGGGCCGGGGGGGGAGGGTTTAGAAGGGAGCGCACTTCCGGTGCCCTTTCTCCTGCAAGCACCTGGGCCACGGACCCTCGTGGGAAGGGTGCGGCGTATAAACTGGAGTGGGGTAGAGGCGGGCCGGCACCCCCTCCTGACCTTTGGTGCCGCCGGTCTCAGGATCGGACATGGCCCAGAACTTGAAGGACTTGGCGGGACGGCTGCCCTCCGGGCCCCGGGGCATGGGCACGGCGTTGAAGCTGCTGCTGGGGGCCGGCGCCGTGGCCTACGGGGTCCGCGAGTCGGTGTTCACTGGTGAGCAACCTCCACCTGCTCTCCGGTCCCATCCCGTCCCTTCCCAGACCCGTCCCCATGCTCACTTAGCCCCTCGCCCCACCGGGGGCTGGCTAGCTCGTACTCTCTGCAGTAACTTGGCCTGATCCCCACCCCTCTCCCCACAGTGGAAGGCGGGCAGAGAGCCATCTTCTTTAATCGGATCGGTGGCGTGCAACAGGACACCATTCTCGCCGAGGGCCTTCACTTCAGGTAATGGCGGGCAGAGCGGATTGACCCTGACCCTTCACCCTTGAACGTCGATCCACCCACCAGTGGCTGTAGCAGGACTTTCAACAGGATTCACCTGTACCCTCTTCTCTCCAAACCCCGTCTCCCAGGACAGTAGGTGCTGCCCGTAACTGCAGCAGCACATAAATGTTCTCTGAAAGAAGAGAATTTCTCTTAGGCCGTGGACTAAGGAGCAGGCCAAGAAACATGTGGTGAGGGAAAACTGCAAAACTAGTGAAACTGCAGTCTCCTAATAACTTATCTCTGCTCCCTCTCCTCCAGGATCCCCTGGTTCCAGTATCCCATCATCTATGACATTCGGGCCAGACCACGAAAAATTTCCTCCCCCACAGGCTCCAAAGGTAGGTTTGGACACTTGGAAGCCACCAGCAAATGAGCTACCTAAAGTTAATGAGCCTGGCACAAACCCCTAGGGGAAGATGGTTGTGTCAGAGCTCTTGGGCCTTGGTTGCCACATGTGCAAAACAGCTGGAATAAAAGTTCCTGCTTCTGGCGTTAAAGCAGTACATTCTGGACACACTGTGTGTTTGCATTTTTTTTATTAACTGTTCCTACCCCCTAACATAAATTCAGTGAGAGCACTGTTTGTTCTTTGTCTTATTCACTGCCTAGATCAAAGCCATGTTTTAAAGCTTTTTTTCCCCTCTTAATTGCTTGACTTATTAATGATACCCACTAGTACACCCTGTTCTGGGGAAATTTGGTCCCACTCTTCACTGGTGTACTTGGTTCCTCCTAGACCATATCTAGTAGCTGTGTATTTGAGATTCCCCAGGCCCCTTCTTCTCTCACACACACACACACATTCACATTCACATTGAGGCAAGTGTCCCACCTGTAATATACTTTTTTGTACTATATTTAGTGCCAGTCACTTAACATTCATTCCCTAAACCCAAGGTCCTGGGAATAAAACACAGTCTTCATCCTCAAATCCTGATAGTGTAGTAAAGAAAACAGGTGATTATTATAGAGCCTACAATAGAGGTTGCACACAGTGCAGTGGCAAAAAGAGAAGAAGAGAGATTACCTTTAATGATGAAGGGGTTATGGATAGAGAAGACATCACATTCTTGTAGACAAGGATGCATTTGGCCTATGCTGAGTCACATCTTGTCAGCCTGATTACTCTCCTCCCTCCAAGGGAGTTCCAGGGTACACGACATTACACGGAGGAGACAGTGCTTGGGGAAGGGTTCTTGGCTAAGAGGCCAGGTGAGGCCCCGTGGTCTTGACCAGCCACTGCTAACCTCACTCTTAGACCTGCAGATGGTGAACATCTCCCTGCGAGTGCTGTCTCGACCTAATGCCCTGGAGCTTCCCAGCATGTACCAGCGCCTAGGGCTAGACTACGAGGAGCGAGTGTTGCCATCCATTGTCAACGAGGTTCTCAAGAGTGTGGTGGCCAAGTTCAACGCCTCACAGCTGATCACCCAGCGGGCCCAGGTTGGACCTAGCTCCCATCACCATCTGCGTAGTGTCAGCTTTTTCCTCCTAGGCCCAGGGCACTGGGTATTAGGAGAGGCAGCTTATTAGAAAAAGGTTGTGACCGCAGTTCCATTTCTACCTAAAAGTGGTACTGTGAGAGCCACTGCGAGAGCCAAGATGAACTTGATAGGTACTAAGAAAGGATTGGTGAGTTTTCTGCCTTTTTCAGAAGCTCTGGTATTCAGACAGTCACCGCAATACACCTTCCTTTCAGTTCTCCAGTCCCCTCAAACGACCTCTCCCTTCCCTTACTCACCCCGCCCCCCAGGTCTCCCTGTTGATCCGAAGGGAGCTAACAGAGAGGGCCAAGGACTTCAGCCTCATCCTGGATGATGTAGCCATCACGGAGCTAAGCTTTAGCCGAGAGTACACAGCTGCTGTAGAAGCCAAACAAGTGGGTGAGTTACCAGAGGAGTAGGTCCAGGGTATCTGAGAATGCCGATGGGGGGTTGGGGTTCCTAACACCTTACATTTGTGACCTCTTGAGTCTCCCACCACAGCACAGCAGGAGGCCCAGCGGGCCCAGTTCTTGGTGGAAAAAGCAAAGCAGGAACAACGGCAAAAGATCGTGCAGGCTGAGGGTGAGGCCGAGGCTGCCAAGATGATATCCTTCTGCTGGAGAGATCTCAGCTCACCCCTGGGGCACATTGCTTTCCCGTCCTCCCTGTCCTCCATGGGCTGGCTGATGAGACTAAGGCGAATGCGATTCCATGCTTTTGGGCAGCGGGGGGCGGTGTTCAGATGGGATCTGAGATCTTAATGGGAGTGCCTGAGCTTGGCTCCTCACTTCAAGACAGATCAATAGCACTGCTGGCCTTGCCTCCATTTCTGCTGCTGCCTCCAGTTCCTGGCAGCTGCCTGCAGGGGGGCCCACAGGTAAGGACCAAAGTAAGAGTAGGCACAAGCAACCTGAGCGCAACCTTGGATCTGACAGCCCAGAGGAGGGCTGGAGTGACGGGAGTAGTAAGGATGGGGCCAGGGATTGAGACCTGACCTTGTGTGAACCCTTAACCCCACCCTGCTCACCTTGGAGAAGCACTGAGCAAGAACCCAGGCTACATCAAGCTACGGAAGATCCGGGCAGCCCAGAACATCTCCAAGACGGTGAGTGTAAGAGCCCAGTATCCCTCACGGGACTTCCTAGAGAGTGTTTTTACCTAAAGCACACTGAAGTGAGGTATTTAGAATGGTGCTCATTCAGGTTTCTACTCAGACTAGCTCGTCTGACACTTCCCAACACATTCCGTTCCTCTGGGTTCCCTTGACCTTTTGTTTACTCCTCTATTATGGTACTAACACAATCACAGTTGCTTGCTCTGGGTCCTTGTGTGAGGACAGAAACAGTGTCTTTCTCATTGTTGCATCACAGGATCCTAAGCCATGTGTTCCATTGGTGGTTATTGAATGTAAGTGTAGGAATCGAGGTTGTCTTTGTTTAATACAAGCATCTGTCTTGTTTCCTGTCCTGTAGATTGCCACATCACAGAATCGTATCTATCTCACTGCTGACAACCTTGTGCTGAACCTACAGGATGAAAGTTTCACCCGGTGAGAGATGTGACCTACACAATGGGGTGTCACAAAGAACATGGAATCTATGCCTAGTCTCTTGGGCTCTGGAGCCTGTTACTAGCTTACTCATGTGACCCTTGAAAGACACTATTTCTCTGAACCAAAAGATAGAAAAGTGTAGGTGATTTGAATCTCATATGATTGATTTTATGAAAGTAAGATTATTCTCATGAAAAACACTTTAGCCCTGGACAGTGTGGCCTTGTTCCATACACTTAAAGGTGGTGGGTTCAGTCCCTGGTCAGGGTACATGCAGAGACAGTCGATCCATGTTTCTCCCTTCCTCTCAAAAAAAATTTTTTAAGCACTTTAATTGTAAAGTTTTGTCTACTGAAAAGTGAAAGGTGATACTCAGTATTCTTACTCAGGAACCCTAAAATTGCTGCTCTGGGGCATAGAAGGATGCTAGGAAAGGAGAGGTGAAATCGCAGTGGCCAAGAGAACTAGTCTCTTCCTTTCCAGAGCCTGAGCTTCCTGGCTTCCAACCCATTTTCTTTTTTTCTTTTGGGAGCACAGGAGGGTTTAGAGCTGGGTGGGGCCTGAACTGAAAATCACCTCTGCATTTTTCTTCTCTTTCTGTTTTTCCTGTTCATCTGGTGACCTGGTGTCCACAGGGGAAGGTAAGTTGTTTATACATCCTTGTTTCTGTGTTGGGCCTTGCAGCTCATCTCCCAGTACCTGCCTTCTCCTCCACCACCTAACCTTTCTCACCTCCCCACACACACCTGTAATCAGGAAGGAGGGTGGTTGAAAAGGGAGTGGCCAAGGTGCTGTTCTTCTCATTTATGTCCCCTAATAATGTCAGACATCTGTCTCCTTTATCCATCTCCTTTCCACAGTGACAGCCTCATCAAGACTAAGAAATGAGCGGGATGACCAGGAACTCTACCCCCAGAGAAGTGGATCTGTTTCTGCCCTGGTGTTTGAGGAGCCAGCTTGGGGTCCAACACACACACACACCCTGCCCCCAGTATCATGTGATGGTCCCCTCTGTATCTGTCCTCCCAGCCCTTCTCAGATGAAGACTGACCCATTTTCAAGGGAATGAGTTTCCTCCTCCCTGTGTTGGCCAAGGTTGTTGGGACAGTGTGTTGATTTCTCAGTGGTTTCCTATAGTGTTGGCTCCTCTCTCAAGGTTGGGAGGTGTTAACCACCATCCCAGGAATTCTCAATAAATTTTTATTACTTAAGCTGAAGTCAAGGCTTCACGTGTGAACTGGGTTAGGGGGAAGTACGCATGCGGGCACTCATATAACACTCCTGAGTCTTTCTTCGTCTTTGCCAGCAGGAGGCGCACAGATTCTAGCCAGGGCAGTTAGGGAATAGCGGGCCTAGGCCCTGCTTCTCACCGTGGAGGCCCAGGAGAGTCAGATACAAAAACAGAACCCAGGCTGGAAACAGCAGGCCCAGCTGCACTTTCCACCCCGCCCTCCATTTCTACCACGTCACCCCATTTATTTACCAACATCTACATTTTTAAGACTGGAGCAGCTGTGGCTTTGCTGAGTTGACCCAAAATATGATGACCCCAACAGAAGCTGCTTCCTTGGTAACAGTTCCATGCAGCTGTAGGGGAGACCACTCGTGCCTATCAGTTGGCTTATGTGCTCAAAGGCCCTGTGGGTTGTGTTGCCTGCTGTGAGCTACCCACATTGCCAATTTTGCAATTCAGGTGTGAGGAACAGATGTGAAATAGGGCTCTACCTGTGGAAATGAGTTTGTCACTCCCACAGCTTGAGGCACCCCCAACAGAATAGGTGCGTTTTCAATTGCTACATGCACCTCCTATTCCCAAGACAGCCCTCACTGTATCTCACACCAGGGAAATGAAGCCACTGCTGTACCTGGTACCACTATGGTCCAGTTCCTATCCCTTGTCCTTATAGGGAGACAAGGAGCATTTGGAACCCTAAGAACTGGGGGCAGAAGCATGGTCGGGGAGGAGGTGAGTCTTACGGGGTGAGGGACTGGGCTCATCTTCAGCTTCTTAGATTTTTAAAGGAAGAAGATTGATTTTTCCCTGCTCTGCAGGTTGGACGTCATGAAAGGAACAGGGAGGTGAAGCAGATGTGGCAGCCCCACTCCTCAGGAGCCTTAGATGAGATTCACAATTAGACAAGAAATGGGTCGGGTAACCTGAATCAGGCTGCCACAAGTTCCCATCCACACTTTATTTTGTTCATGCTCCCAAGTCGGGAAGAGAGTGGAGGTGCCTGGGGAGCGAGTATGTTTTCAAGTCCTGCTGCAGCTCTAGAGGCAGCCATTTTGTCTCCTCCCCATTGTTCCCCTTTTCCTAGTGATTTACACCCCCATCCAGAGGGGTAAAGGTCAGAGGTGGTTGGTCAGGAGGCCTCCATGGTCTTCAGGGCTCCCTGAAGGTCACTGCCGAGGGAACCGGCCCGGGGGCCATCTTTACCAGACAGTGTTAGGAGCTTCACAATTAGACCATCCAACACTGTACTGGAAGATGGGCCCAGAGCCGGCGACATACAGCTCCAGGCTGTATAGCGCTGGCCAGTTGCTACAGGGACCCTAGCCGCAGGCCAGGTGAGGTCTCGAGAGCACATGAGCCAATCCCAAGCTCCTGGTCGGCTGTGGGTTCTGGATCCAGATGACAAATCACTCCGGGTTGGGGGAGGGGCCCGGAACCATTGTGTCCCTTCAGTGGGCAACTCGCCAACCAAGAGCCACTTTATCTGCAGCACCCTCCACTCGAGATGAAGGGGATTCCAGGATGTGGGGGGAGGTTCAGAAGTGGGGGCTGCAGCCTGCTGGGGGCCTCAGGTAAAGGATGTCGCTGACACAGGGACAGAGGCCTCCATCATTACCCGGCAGTATTAGAGACTCCCAACCAGCACCCAAACACTGCTGGGTAAGACGGGGGCCCCCACCCAGCCTGCCTACCTCCAGGTCAGGCAGTCCTAGGCCCAGGCCCCCGTGGAGAGGCTGCAGAACCCTGGCTCCCTTCCCCCCACCACCCGTGTCCCAGGGGACACTTCCGGGTGAGCCCTGCAGCCTGCCACCAGCTCCACCTTGAATTGTTGACCCACTGAGGCCCAGGCAGAGCTTCCCAGCCCCCTGCCCACCTGTTCTCTGCCTCTGAGCCCCTTCCCCCACCATCCACATAGCCTGTCCCTGCCCCCACACACCAATCCACCAGCCTTCATCACCCCTCTGCAGTCCCCAGCTCAGCCCCAGGACTGCTCTCTCGATGGCCTTTACCTGTCACCTGGACACCTGACCCCCAGAGAGTGAGTGCTGAGGAGAGGAAGGGGAGTCAGGCCCAGGATTCAACCGCCGCCTAGGCCTCCACTCTTCCTTCTTCCTTCTCCACCGGCAGGCAGCGCAGGCTCCTTACCTGGGCCCCGCCCGCCGCCCCTGCGTACAGGTGTGTCCTCTTGCCATAGGCTGCCCCCCCACTGCCTTAACCCCTTGCCTCCCAGCACCAGCCCCAGGCGCCTCCTCTGAGTTCCGTCACCCCACTAGCCCTCCCACCCTTTTCTAGCAGTGTCTTCTACCTGCCACCTCTGCCCCCAGGCCTAAACCAGGGAGACTGATTGGTCTCCAGAGGGAGAAAGGGAGGGACTATCTTTGGGCCCCTTTGCCTTCCTCCTTGGGCTGTCCCCTCAGCCACTCCTGCTCCCAACTACCTTCTTCCTCTGAGGCCTTCAACCCTGCCCATGGCCAGACACGGAGGGCCAGAGAGATCCCTGAGGTCAGCGATAGGTTAGCTTGGTAGGCGCGGGTTGGGCCCAGGCCCAGTGCCCCACCTGTGCTGACCATCCCTGCCTGTGAAGGCAGACAGGCCCCGGCATGGTGTCTCCTTGTCCTCGGCCTAGTGTTGGGGGTGCCTGCCTCTGCCAAGAGCATCAATACTAAGCTAGGCAAAGTACTGAGCTGCTCTCCTTCAGCCCTCACAGACTCAGCCCTTCCCACTGTCCTTCAGGGAGTAGCCACCATGGACTGTGCTGTTCTGGGGAGGGACCAAAGTCTGACGGAACTGCTCCTGGACCCACTTCACTGCCCCGGTCCAAGGCCCAGCCCACAAGCAGTTAGCCCAAGGGCGGTTAGAGGGTGTGAGGCCTACCTTTCTTCCGTGCAGCTCTAGCTGGGAAAGAAAGGGCGTTGCTTGGAGAGGGGCCCTGAAGCCGACAGGTGAGGGCCCCATCCCCCACGCCCTGGAGAACATTAGCTCCTGGGAGCTGTTGTGTTGCCTAATCTAATCTCTCTCCCCTCCCTCCCTCCCTCCCTCTCTCTCTCTCTCTCCCTCTTCCTGTCTCTCTTTCTCTCCTTCCCTCCCTCCTTCCCTCCTTTGTTTTGTTTGCATCCTTCTTAACACCTATGTGTACTCATTTTATGTTTGTGGACTGTCTGGGTCTGTGTCCCCTACCACCCCCCTAAGTCCACAAGGACAGGGGCTGTCTTGTTCATCATCAGGCCCCCAGACCACTCTGGTGCCTGTGACACAGTGGGCACTCAAAACAGAGAGTATATGCTGAACAAATGACAGCCGGCCAACATTGCTTTGAGACTGTGCTTACTCATGAGCCTGCCCAGCAGGGGGGATTCTCACAGGCTTAACTCCCCAGGAGTTAAGATAAAGCCATAATACAAAGAAGGAATCACTGGCAGCCCACTCTGGACACTGGGGAAGGAAGAGGGGACAAAAATAAAACTAATCAGAAGCATAATGGGGGCAGCAGCTCAGTGGAAGGGAGGAACAAGGAGCTCCAGTGAGCACCAGGGACCCAGAGGGTGGAGGGGAAACTGGGGAGGTCCTGTGTTTCTTGCCCTTTATGTATTTTCTTTGCTCTTGGACCTAAAAGTCAGCACCAGAACTATGTGGTTGTGTCCCACTCAGGTGACTTCAGCTGCATCTCCAGGGGTGGGGTTCTGGGGCCAGACAGCCTGAATTAAAATCTTAGTTTCATTGTTCAGTAGTCCTGTGACTTTGAACAAGTTATTGAATCTATCTGTGCCTCAGTTTTCCCCACTGTGAAATGAGAATGGTAGATACTCAGACTGAATTAATACATGTAGGGTTTTTTTAATGTTTTTATTTTTTTAGAGAGAGAGGAAGGGAGAGGGAGAGAGAAACATCAATGTGAGAGAGAAACATCGCTCGGCTGCTTCCTGTATGCATCCCCACTAGGGGTCGAACCCACAACCTGGGTTTGTGCTCTGACCAGGAATCAAACAGGTTACCTTTTGATACACAGGAAGATGCCCAACCAACTGAGCCACACCAACTAGGGCAATATGTGTAGTCTTTTTTTTTCTTCAATATGTCTTTATTTACTTCAGAGAGGAAGGGAGAGGGAGAGAGACAGAAACATCAGTGAAGAGAGAGTCATTGATCGGCTGCCTCCTGCACACACCGGAATCGAACCGTGATCTCCTGGATCCTAGGTCGATGCTCAACCACTGAGCCATGCTGGCTGGGCAATAAGTGTAGTCTTTTAAACAGTGCCTGACATGAAGGAGCATTTAAGATCTTGCTCCCTGTCATATGTGGTCCATTTGGCTCAAATAAACTCTTATGGAAAAAAATAAAGAAATAAAAATAAAGTGCCTGACATGTGGCAAGCATAAAGTGCCTGCCCTTGTGATCATCATGCCTTATCTCAAGGCTCTTCACAACCACCCTCACCCTCCACTTTCGAGGAAAGAGGAAAGAGGCTGAGGAATCTGGCCCATGGTCACACTCCTAGTGTTAAACAGAGCCGGGAACTAGGTCTGTCTGACTGGGAGGGTGGAGCTTTGCAAGAAAGGTGGAGCTTTTATTTGCTCACACACTGCTCCCAGCCCACCTCTCCCTCCACCCCCCGCTGCCCTTCCCGCCAGGGAGCACAGAGTTAGAGACCCACACATAGTGATCCTAGGGGCTTTATTTACAAGTGTAGAAGGGTCTGCCCCGCCTGGAGCCTTGCTGTGCTATATACAGAGTCTGGGAAAGGGAAGTGGCCATTCGACCATTTAAATTACAATGGAGTTGGGCTCCTGGGTTCAGGCTGTGGATGTTCCCTGGAGGCTTCTCTACAGGGATCAGGGCTGAGGCTGCAGAGAGAAGGGAGTAAGGGAGTAAGGGGATGGCTGGAACCTGGGGAGGGGGACAAGGGCAGGTCTGGGATGGCTGGGAAGGGCAGAGTGAGGCTACCATCCATTCAGGGTAAGCACCGAAGCCAGAGGACACTGGGGCAGGGCAGGGGAGAGCCCTGGGCAGAGGGGCAGAGGGGACGCTAGGGCAGGGCAGGGGAGAGCCCTGGGCAGAGGGGCAGAGGGGACGCTGGGGCAGGGCAGGGGAGAGCCCTGGGCAGAGGGGCAGAGGGGACGCTGGGGCAGGGCAGGGGAGAGCCCTGGGCAGAGGGGCAGAGGGGACGCTGGGGCAGGGCAGGGGAGAGCCCTGGGCAGAGGGGCAGAGGGGACGCTGGGGCAGGGCAGGGGAGAGCCCTGGGCAGAGGGGCAGAGGGGACGCTGGGGCAGGGCAGGGGAGAGCCCTGGGCAGAGGGGCAGAGGGGACGCTGGGGCAGGGCAGGGGAGAGCCCTGGGCAGAGGGGCAGAGGGGACGCTGGGGCAGGGCAGGGGAGAGCCCTGGGCAGAGGGGCAGAGGGGACGCTGGGGCAGGGCAGGGGAGAGCCCTGGGCAGAGGGGCAGAGGGGACGCTGGGGCAGGGCAGGGGAGAGCCCTGGGCAGAGGGGCAGAGGGGACGCTGGGGCAGGGCAGGGGAGAGCCCTGGGCAGAGGGGCAGAGGGGACGCTGGGGCAGGGCAGGGGAGAGCCCTGGGCAGAGGGGCAGAGGGGACGCTGGGGCAGGGCAGGGGAGAGCCCTGGGCAGAGGGGCAGAGGGGACGCTGGGGCAGGGCAGGGGAGGGCCTTGGGGGAGGGGCCGTACCATGGTCACCTGAGGACGGTGCCCGGCTCACTTCTTCTTGAGGGAGCCCTTGCTCTTGTCTTTGTCTGCCGACCGCTGCTTCTTCACCTTCTCCTCCTTCCTGTTCTTACTGTGCAGGTTCTCGTACACATCCTCCTTGTGTCTGCGGGGCGTGGGCAGTGCGGGCAGTTGGCACCGTCAGGAGGCAGTGCACCAGCAGCCCCCTCCGGGCCAGTCGCCATCCCCAGTGAGGAAGCCAAGGCCAGGAGAGTGAGGAGACCTGGTCTCCGTCCCGACACTAGAGCAGGCGCTCCTTGGGGGCCGCGCCTCCATCTCCTACATCAGTTTCTACCAGTACCCAGCACAGGCCCCCAGACGGCTCTCAGGAAATACTAAGCACAGGTAATGAGAACCAAGACTGACTTGAGCCCAGGTCTCCTCAGCAGCAGCACTCTGCTCTCCAGAAAGGGAGGGTCGCGCAGGGGAGAGAAGGGTGGGGCTGGGAGGCGGCGGGCGGGGAGGTCACTCACTTGGAGGAGGTGCGAAAGGCCTGGGCATGGGTGTTCTTCATGGCTGGGGGGTAGGAGATGTTCCCATACTCTGACTCCTGGCCCTTCTGGGACTGTAGGCAGAGGGGTGGGGGTCTCAGCAGGAGCGGGTGACACCCACTGCCCTCCACAGCCCCACCGGGCCCTGCTGGGCACGCACCTGCATGACCTCCAGCTTCTTCTTGGTGGTCTCAATGAACTGGGCGATGGCCACGTAGATGAACTTGTACTGCGCCTCCGTCTGCACCATGCCCGAGCGTTGTGCCCGCACCATCTGGATCGTCTTCTGGATGTCAATGTCACAGTCCAGCCCTGAGCAGGGGTGGCAGTTGGGCCTCAGCCCCAGGCGGAGGCGGACGCCGAGGAGCTCCCGCTCACCCCCCCAGCGCCCCGCACAGGCAGCCCTCACCTTTGGTGGCGATGCTCTCCATGAGCATGTCGATGACAATGATGGTGCCCGTGCGGCCGATGCCCGCGCTGGGGAGAGCAGGGGCACCATCAGAGGCCAGTCCACACCGCCCCAGGAAGGGGGCCCAGAGCTCAGCTCCAGCCACCGCTCCCTTCCCACCTCCTCCACTCCTTGCCCCGACGCCTCATTGCTGCCCACCCCTGAAGATCCTGGGCCCCCACTTCCACCACTGTCTTGCCCACCTCCCCTGACCTCCGAAACCCTTGGCCTGAGCAAGGCCTTCCCCTTCTCCCTTCAAAAGTTATATTTGGAGCTTCTTTCTTCAGGGCTTCATTTCCCTTTTTCTTCAGACCCTGATGGCAGGAAAAGGGCAGCCCTCCGACAGTGGGGTGCAGGGCGCACAGGAGATGAGGAGGAGCCATGCAGCAGGACCCACATGGACCTCAGTCCTGCCCCTTCACTAGACCTGTCAGACTGGTGCCCTGAGTCGAGCTAATTTCAAACCCAGATTGTCAAAAAATAAACCCCCCTCACCCACTTCCTTCCTGTAACGTCTAAATAAAGGCCACGGGGATTTCAAGAATTGGATGCCAGTGTGGGGGTGGGCAGCAGCAGGGTCATTCCTGGTGGTGGGCCTGCCCCTGGATGCAGAGCACCCCTGGAAGCAGAGCATGGGGTGGGGGGCACCTCCAGGTCGAGGCACCCAGCGCTGCCCCAGGAAAAGCAGTTGCTGGTGAGTAGAAGAAAGTCGAGGCCTTCACCGCCCGGCTCACATGGAGGAAGAAGGAAAAGAATAGCACAGAGCAAGTTTCTATTCTCTCGTTCCCTGACAGCTCTCATTTCTTGAGAGTTTATTCTATTCCAGATACCATGATAGGATCTCACCACAGCCCTGTGAGATCCTGATTTTACAGTTGAGGAATCTAAGGGTCAAAGAAGTCATGTAATTTGTCCAAGGTCACCCAGCCAGTGAGTGGAGAAGCTGGAATTTAAACCAACTGCCTCTGTCCCAGACCCTGTGCCCGCTGCACCCCATCTGCCCAGGCCAGGCCCACTGGGTCAGCCTGTCTGTGGAACTCTGCCCCTCAGGCCTAGGGGAAACCTGCTCCTTCTTGCTGAACCCCCACCTCCTACAGGAATGGGGTCTCCTAATTGTGAACATGTGGGTCTCCACTGGAGCTATGTGCCCCTCCTGAAGACATCGCCAGTCCCTACACTGAAGCCAGGCTGGGGGCACTGGCTGGGAAGTGGAGACTGAGACTGAGAGCGTCAATGAAGAAGCCTCCCACTCACAGAACTACAGATGGAGAAAGAAGGGATGGGGAGCCACACTGACCCCACATGGAGGGTATTGAGGCCAAGAAGAAACGGGGTGCATGCGCCAGTGCAAGAAAACGGTGACCAGGACCTAAGGCTGTTGTGAGGGCCAGTCTAGACTCTCCCCAGACCATCTAGTGACCTGACAAGGGGCTGGCCTGTTTCTTCATCTGTCTTTGGCAGGGTTGGGCAAGATGGTACACCCAGGAAGGTCTTTGAGAAAGCCACCCCCAGGCAGAGGATCAGACAGTGGGGTTGGTTCCAGTGGGGTTGATTCCTGATGGATCTGGAGCCATCAGGGAACCCAGAAAAGGCTGGGGGGGAAGGGGAGGCAGTAAAAAAGTTAGTATGTCAATTGCTTACAATAGTGCATGGCACTTAGCCATATTTACTTACTTGCCAGCTACTATTTTTATGATCACTACTAAGGTCTTCATTATTATTCTCACCTGCAATGCACGATGATGGGCCCCGCATGAGGCAGGCTTTCCTGCCGCTGGTTGATCTGGTCTAGGAAGCTGAGGACGCCCCCAGGCTCGCTTGGGACCCCATGGTCAGGCCAGCTCAGGTACTGGTAGTGCCAGATGTCCCGCACCAGGTTCCCCTGGGCCGAGTACAGAGAGTCAGTGCCCCCTGCTCCCATACATTGCTCCACCCCCTCCCCCCAACCAGACAAGAGAATAGGTCCAAGAAGGGCCCTAGGGGGGCCAAGCGTGGGGGCACTCACATTGTCCAGTGGGGAGACCTGTAAGGTGCGGAGTTTGTACTCGGCTGTGTCATGTTCCCCGCAGTTGGTTACAGTGTAGGGTCCATACACGCGCTGAGTGCCCACCTCTGGCCAATATGGGACACATTTGTTCTGGAAGGGAAGGTGCAGGTGGAGAATGAGGCACGGAAGCAGGCATGAGGCAGGGCACCTGAGTCCTGGTGCTGGCCAGTCAACATTGCTTAAATGAATGGATGACCTGGCCAAGATTCAGAGTCTTAGGATCCAGTGCTGAGTCCCGACCAGCCACCTAACCTGACAAGTTATTCAGTACACAGTGGCTGATACACATACTGCACCCAAAGCTGTGCAAACAAGGCAGGAGATATAAATAAAAATAAGGTGCAGTCTGCACCCCTGAGCCTCCAGGAACTTACAGAGAGAGACAAGTGGACAGGGAAGACATGGAGCACAGTGGAGGGAGAGGCTAATTCTCCCTCTAGGTTATGGAGGAAATCAGAGATGGCTTCACAGGGGAGGGAGCATTTGAACTGGGTCTTCACAAAAGAGGAGTCTGTCAGGCAGAGATAGTGTGGAGAGAGGAAGTCGCTTCCTAGGAGCAAATGAGCTTATGCAAAAGCTCAGAAACCTGAAAGAGCCTGGCCCATTGGAGGTGGTGGATGTTGCAGAGAAGCCATCAGGCTCTGAGTGCTAAGTCTTAGACTGTGACTATCCTGAAGGCAACTGGGAGTCACTAAAGGGTTTTCCATGAGAAAGCAACGTGAAGCAGTTCATGATTTGGACGGGATCAGTTTGGCTCCAGTACAGAGGGTTCTGCTCTGGGTGAGAGGGAGGGGCTGATTCCAGAGAGATTTATGAGGCAGAGGGGACCAGAGGGGCTCTTGCATGGGCAGGGACAGGTAGGGGAGGGGCAGGCGGAATGTTTGCTTCAGGGCACTTTAAGGGAGAAGGCCCATTTAAAACCTGCATCTGGTGGTCAGGAGAGCCCAAGGCTGGAAGCAGGGATCTGGCAAATCAGGGTATACCCAAGACTTTGTCTCTGAGCCTCAGTTTCCCAACAAGGGTTGGACCTTTGCCTCCTGAGGTGCCTTTCTGCCCTGCCATTCTTCAGTTTAATGGTAGTGGACACTGAGTACTGGGGAGGGGGTTGGGGATCAGGGGGTGACGATGGGCTCAGCCCTACCCGGCCTTTCTCCACCTCTCGGGTGGTCATGACGATGACACGGGTGTTCTCCTGCCATGTCATCTGCCAGAAGTCATTGACCGTGGCATCCAAGCAGCCCTGGCTGGCGATGTAGGTCTTAGAGTTCTCGTCAGGGCCTAGCAGCTGGTTCTGGATGCAAGTGCAGAGAGACACACAGCAGGACTGTGAGCCTCTTGGCCTGGGACGTGCCTTTCACCCCCACCACCCTCACCCACAAGAGTCATCAGCTTTGTCTTTGCCCATGCATCTCTGGACCTGGTACCCCTGAGATGGGGCATCCCCAGGCCCAGCCTCTCCTCCTGGGTAACACCGACCTTGATGTAGTTGGCGTTGATGTAGTCAGATCCAGGGATGTTACTGTCACGTCCCTGCAGGATCACTCGGCTGTGGTCAACTGAGAGCGATCAGGGAGGAAGCAAGAAGGGCCTGGGTCAGCAAGAACTCACCAGCCCCTGGAGCGGACCCTTCCTAAGCTCAAAGGCAATTCTTGTCTGAGAGGCCATGAGGCTCTCGGAGTACTGCGGGCCGCAGGGGATCTGCATGAGTGCGGGTGGAGGTTTCAGAGGAAGGAGAGCGGCGAGGGTGGTGGGTGTGGGAGGCTCTGCTGGGAGGATTAGAGGCTTTTTGAAGGAGAGGCGATTCTGTTGCGTGGGTGGGAGGTCGATCCTCCCTGAGATGGGGCTAGAGACCCATGAGATGGGGGAGGAGGCTGAGGGAAGGAGAATCTCCTGGGCGGATGGAGGTGTGGGCGGGTGCTCACATGGGAGAATGTTCTTGTAACGGTTCTTGCTCTTGTTTTCTGGCCGCTGCCCTTCCAGCCGCTGGTGCAGGTTCTTCACCTCCTGCTTCTGCAGACTCTGAGGGGCAAGAGGGGGCAATGGAGCACCAGCCCCCAAGAGGGGCGTCCATGGGGGGAGATAACACGGGGCAGGTCCGTATCAGGGGTGGAGAGAGAGAGGGAGTGGGGTTGCCCTGATGATCCCCGTCACGCACCTCAAACTCCTCCCAGAAGCCGGCCTTGGCTGTGTTCTCCGTCTCCTGCTTCTTGTTCAGTTCCAAGACCCGGTTCTCAATGTCGGCCGCATTCACCCGCGTGGCGTAGTATGGCTGGGGTGGGTGAGGGTGAGAAGCCAGTGACTTCCAGGTCTCAGAGGCTCCCGAGGCGAGGGACTGCTCAGGGGAGGAAGGAGGCAGGCAGGCCCACCCCTCACCTGCCGCAGGTAGACGAAGGCGCCTGAGGCCTCCTCAATCCCTGTCTTCTTGAAATGCTCCACCAGGTCCGTGAGGCTGTCAAAGGTCTCTGAACCACCCACCGTGTAGCGTCCACCCTGAGGGATATCAAGTGAGGCCACCCCGCAGGGCCCAAGTCTCCCTCCCTCAGACCCCAACCTTGGCTGGAAGTCTGGCTGACCCTCCCCACGGCCCACACTGTGTGTAGATGGGAGCCCCAGCAAGATGCCCCCCCTACTTTGCGGCAGCCTTACCTCACACATGACCTTGATATGGGTGACTTTGAGTGGAGAGCCTGGGCCAGCTTTGAGCTGGTCGTTGAGCACTGACAGCACAAAATCCCCAGGCTGGCTGAGACTCTCACGCACAAGAAATGTCCAGGGCTCACCCTTGGCTTGCAGCAGTGTCTCTGCCTGCCCCCCAGACATGTGGCCATGGTACCACCTAGAAAAGGCAGCATCAGGGAAGGTGAGTCCTGGGCTGAGGGGCAGTCACTGAGCAGAGAGGCTCACAGAGAGGGACAAGGAAACTGATTACTTGTGATGCGTCAGGCACTAGGCTAGGTGCTTTGAAGCCCACCACCATATTTAGGTCCATTACAAAGCACAAAGAGGTAGGTACCATCCCCATTTTACAGATGAGGAAACAGGCTGGCAATTGCACACTGGCCCAAGGCCCTTACTGATAAGAGGCAAGCCTCAGGAGTGCTAACCAGGTCCACCTCTGGAAGTTTAAGACAAAGGCAGAAAGGCAGGCCATATCCAGAATATTTGGAGGGAAGAAACCCAGGAAGGGTCTCTATGAAAGACAGGGGTAGGCTGGGGAAAGAGGACAGAGACCAAGAGGAATACAGACAAAGGTCAAACCACAGAGAGCCATGGAGATGGGAGAGACGGAAGTCACCAGGGAGGCATGAAGAAGTGAACTCCCCCAGAGGCAGGAAGACAGACAACCAGCTGGGGAGAGTGGTTTAGGGGGCTCTGGGGTGCCCAGGATGATGCCACTGAAGAGGAGGCTGGGGTTCAGAGGGGCTCAGAGGGGCTCAAAGGGGCAGAAAGCAGAACTAGAACCTTTCCCCGAAGCACACCCCCTTCCCAGGAGGAAACTAGCCCCACAATGCCCAGCCCCACAGGAAACCACGTGATGGAAAAAACACAAAACTCCTTCTGGGGAGAGAGTGAGAAGTGAGGTTGTGAGGTTTCCTCAGCCCAGGGACCTCAGGAGGGGGGGGCATTTTCCAACCGCAAGGATGGGGGAAAGAGGGCATCTCACTCCAGCCCAGAGAAGACCACAGCTCAGAGAACTTCAGAGTTCCCTGGCCTGTCCAGGAACACACTGGGCCACCTCATCCCACTACTCAGGGACAGACCAGGGCCCCAGGGCAATGAGGAGGGGGTCTAACCCTCTTCCTCCAGGCCTGAGGATGAGGAAGTTTCCATGCAAATGTCAGGCTGACCACAGGCACAGAGCTAGCCACCAAAGGGACAAATGCAAATTCTTGTGGAGGGGGAAGGGCAGCAGTCAAGGCAGGGACACAGACAGAGGTCTAGAGAAAGAGCCTCCCACACACACTTCCAGGGTCAGGGGTGAGCCCAGAGTGTCCAGGTGTGGGTAACCAAAAGGGCCTCTTAGAGTCAGCTTCCCTGGTCTTGACCACCCCCAGGCCCAGCTCTACTGTTCTCTTGTTTCTCCCAAGTGATGTGAACCCAGGCCTCAGCCTCCGCCCTAGGAGGGTCTTCTCAGCTCCTCCTTCCCTTTCCCAGCTCAGTACTCAACCTACTGCTTCTCTGTGGTCTGGTAACCATTCTCCTCTGGCAAGGCAGAGCCTGGCTGTGGGCAAGGGCAGAAAGAAGACATGACTTCAGAGGGTCTGGGTGACAAACCCCCACACATGTTGCAGATGGGACATAGGAAAAGGGTGAGAAAATACAAAGGAGGGCAGCAATGAGCATGGTCATCAGTGTTGAGGCTCCACTCTTAGAAGACGTGGCTTCAAAGGAAGTGGATCAGTGGCTTCATGTTGACTGGAGAGAGGTCTCCAGTGGTGGGATGTGGGGACTTCACCTCACCTTATCCACTTCTAAGTTTTAATCAGTGACTTGAACAAAAATATTTATGCAAGTTGGGAGGCATGCAACTCAGAAACACTGAAAATGGGCAGAATCAAGGTTCAGAATCATGTCAACAATCAATATACTAATACAGTACAAGGGCAAGTTGGCTTGGCCCCAGGAGTGTAGGGGGGGAAAACCCTAGAATTTTTCAGCTGCCCTTTCCTTAACAAGAGCTGTCATTGAGATGTAGCTGCTAAAATGAGCCATCTCCCACTCAGACTTTAGGGAGACCACTACCCTAAAGCCAGCCTGGCTCTGGGGCCATATCTTTGGAGCCAAAGTGATAGAAGGGAAATGACTTGAGTATTACCCTGTGCCCAGGTACTAGGCCTTTGCACATGAGACCACATCATATAATGATGCCCAGCCCAGCCCCAAAAGGCAGACCCATTCCCTCTGGTCTGCTGAGGTAAGGCATTAAGTGTCCTCGTGGACATTAGTCCCTGTGTTCCTTCTCAGTATCCACCTCTCACTGTATTAACCTGTCCTGGAGGAAGGAATAGTTACAGGAAGTCAGATTCGGTTCCATAGAAGGAAGAAGAGCTTTCTAACAACAAAGCTGGCCACAAGGAGAGGTCTCTCTGTCACCAGTGAGGCCTGGGTTGCCAGCTGACAGGGACCCTGAAGAAGGGCAAGGTGACCTCTTGCGTCCTCAGGGGTAGATGGAAAGGGGTGGGAGGTTAGTCCCGAGACACAGCCCCAGGGTCACATGGAAGAAAAAGGGTCACAGAGCCCTGAGAAGGAGGTGGGTTGGGGAAGACACTGACGATTAGGGTGCAAGAGAAGCCCCTCACCTCTCACTGGTAGGGTCAGAGCAGTTGAGAGGGTACTTGAGGTGGATGATGGTGCCATCGCGGTCCTGAAGTACCCCGTGCTGCTGCGTGTAGTACTCCACTAGCTCTGTCAGTGTCGCAAACTTCTCCCCGCCATACAGGTCGTAGAAATCCCCTGAGTTCTGGATCCGAATATGGGTCACCTGATCCCCTACCCTGCAGGACACCAGGCAGTGAAGCCAGTGGGTGCAGGAGTAGAGGTGGGGGC